AATAACAAATAAATATAAACAAAACGAGTAATGTTTATATTCCTCCAACTTCCCTCAACACAATCTCTTAACTTTCTCTAGTACAATCCCCCAACTTCTCCTGCCAAGTATTACTTCTTTTACTGTGTATTGTGTATCCTCTTTTTGGACAAAAAAGATATATAAATGGTACTTTTTCTCCTTTTTGCTAACTCTTAAGTTTCTATACTTCACCTTAGACTCTGTTTTCTTTATACCTTTCTTATCTTGTAAAGTTGATATTCCTTTTCTAAAGTAATTTCTACAGACAAGGTTATCACTATATTCTTGTATGAAATAAAGTTATTCTATATACTGTTACTATCTCAAACCATTTGTCTTCTGCTGTGTAGTTAAGTGAACAACTATATTTTCACTCTGTGTATATTTGCAAAAATCAATCACTACACTGGGTAATCTTGTTGTATAGCTATATTGGTTAAAGAAGGCTACAGCTTTGTAATACTACAAAGAACAAAAACTAATTTTACTTCATATTATTACATGTATAAACAAATCAATATTTACTAAAAATCAAGTATATATTATAGTAAATTATACTATTTTATAAAAAATCATTAATCTAATCAATTTTGATTCTAAATATCTAAAAAACTAAAGCTATTCTAAAAGAATATAATAAATTGTATTTTATCTATACTAGAAAACTCAAACCTATACAATAATATCTCTATTCAATTATTATACCTATAATATCATAATATATATATATATATATATTTTTTTTAGCATATCCTGCCACTGTTTTATTAAGCTATTAACTAAGCAAAAATTATAAGAATTCTTGACTATAGTTATTTTTTTAACTACAACAAGTAACTCACTCGACTAATAGTCCAGATACGATATTATCTAGTGATTATTTGTTTCTCTCTAAGCTCCTAACTTACTAGAGGCATGAATTTTTCGATTATTGGCCGGTATCACAAGCCATATTAGTATTATTTTTTCTTTTTACAAAGCAAAATACAAATACAAATTTAAAGGTCAAAAAAGAAAAAAAGGAGTGATACCTCGACATCCAAACTCGATCCACCTAAACAAAAAAAAACTAAATAACATATAAAAGAAAAAACAAAATAAAAGAAAAGAAAACAAAGATAGTACTATTAAACCCATACTAGATTGTAAAAATTATATAGTACTACTAAATAAACTAGACTAAACTCTATGCTAGTTATTTATGTCTATATTGGGATATATAAAATATCTATTCTTGAGTAGAGATCCAAGTTCGAAATTTCTCTTGTAGTCTTATTAGGTTTTTGGCACGGTATTCTGCAACCGGTGTTAGGCAAATTAGTGGTTAACCAAAAATTTGCTAGTCAAATTGGTCTGGTCAAATTGGTCAATTGGTCAAACTGGTCTAATTAGTCAAGTTTATTATATAAATATGAATTAATTTATTTGTACCCTTAGGGTATACTAAAATTTTATGTACCCAATATTTTTGTAGTACAAATCAGGGTTATGCAATCGTTAATCACATGTATCGCTCGATAGTTACGATCATATGCATCGGAGAATAAAATCGTGCATAGATATATAGCAAACAAATAACATCATGAAAGTCACGCCGTAGTATAAATAGAGTTAGAAATCGAAGTTAAAAAAATCTTTCTTGATCTTTTTTGTAAGAAACGCGAAAAGTATTAAGGAAGAAATTACTTACCCACGTGTATGTCAGTCTCTAAAACCTGTATTAGGTTTGTTACAACGAAGGTTATTAATAAATTATGCAATACAATATTAACCTTGACACTTATTTAGGTGCGCTTTATTTAAATATTACCACTTTATTTAACAAATCGTCGAAATGGAAAGTGATGACAACCCGGAAACATATGAAGAGCAGTTCTCAAGTGTTGCAGTATGGTAAGTTGAACATTTTTTGATCTTGCTTTTGCTCAAGCTATGTATTTTCTTTAGCTAATATAAATTGAAATGAAGTGAAAATAGCTTGGTTGAAACGGTGGATCCTTCAGTAGTCGAACATGAAATGCAGTCTTTAAGTATTGTGGGATGGTAAGTCAAAAGTTTTTGAATCTCGCTATTGCTCAAATTATGTAGTTTCTTTGGCTAATCTAAATTAAAATGTAGTGAGCAGAATTTGGTTGAAACGGTGGATCCTCCAGTGGTCGGTCAAACTTTTTGTAGTTGAGAAGAGTTAAATCGCTTTATATCTCTCTATGCAAAGTCCTAGAATTTTGTTAGCATTATCCGTGGGTCTGAATACAGTAATGGAGTTTGTCGAAGCCGCTGATATGCTTGTGAACAACAGGGCCATCAAGCTATGAAGAAAAAGACCAGTATTGCTGAAAATCAGCGGGAAACGCGAAGTAAACATGTGGGTTGCTGTTGGCAAGTTCATGCTAGTTGTCCTAAGACAACAGGTATATTGAGTATTAATTCCCTTTGTTTGAGTCATAATGACCATCCAACAAAAGATAAAACAAATAAGTTTGCTGCAAAATATCATGCGTTTACTGAAGATATGTTAAAGGATATTCAGTTTTGGACTGAAATCGGTAGTATCAATATGAGAACTTAGCACCAAATGTTGATGAAGCGGTATCCTGATGCTTTTTTTTTATCTCAAGACCTCTCAAATGCTATTCAGACCTTTAAACGCCAAAGTTATGTCGAAAATAAGGCTGCTGTCTTACTTAATTATCTTCTTGAACATAAAACAGAAGATACCAAATGGGTTGTATATTGGAAAGTCGACACTACAAACAATTCTCTTGTCTCTCTGTTTTGGATGTCACCTGACCAGCACGACCTGTATATTCAATATCGGGATGTTATTCAATATAATAATACGTATTCAACAAATCGGTTTAAA